GCAAATTATTGAAATTCTCCGCGGATTTTCGCTTTCGAAACCAGCGGGTCTTGAGATGGCCAGAATCGGAGTCCGCCGAGTGTAACTTGTTATTTGCAGTAATTAATTTTGAGGCAAGAGTGCTAATTAATTCCGAGAGCGGAGCGGCACAAATGCGCAGATGAAGGCGTTGGGAGCATGGCGCAAATTGTAGACCAACATCCGTCGGCTGGCCCATCCGTCCAGTGGCTTTCTGGTCGGCAATTAACTGCCAGTTGTGGCCGAAACCGAAGACCAGGGCTATTTCCTATGAATTTGGTAGTGAAGATTCAGCGCTACAGGAAACTTACATAACTGTTTGAGGGCCGAGCGGCGGATCTTTTGTAGATTTCCACGGACTGATTCAATGTCCACCTAGACAAGGTACCTTCTGCCATCTGCCATCTGCCGTTGTCCCCCTCGAGTTCTCGAGTTCCCTGGCCAGTTTCCCTTTGCGGAGGACTGAGCCAATAGTAACGCCTACCAATACCTTTAATTATAGTGCCTGACCCGCCGAGAATCGCGACCAGGGACGTCCAAACATGACGCACGTATAGAAAACATATTTCAAACTAAACAAACTCATCAGAATGGACACAGAATAAAAATCGAAAAAAAAGGCAATTGGCCAAAGAAAACCCGCTGGGACGCGTGCAAAATTTAAAGTAAAGCGAGAAAAATGTAGACAGCGCGTCAGGCTTGGCCAACCCAGGGAATTCTTGGCTTAAAGTGGCAGGTCCGAAAGTTTCTGGCCACTCTGATTAGCTCCACTCGCACACACTCCGCTCCAAGGTCACTGGGGATGACGTCATTTTGGGGTAAGGCCATTAATTGGAAGGGGAAAACAGAGCTTTCTTGGAATTTCCAGCAAAGAAATTACTCAAGCGAATTTGGCTTAGCAAGCTGTGGCTTTAAATACATTGTATGGACCTTGTTCGCTTAGGCTTTTATAGATGTATCAAAAAAATAAAAGAAAGAACTCACTATTATCCACACTTAGGAAAATATTTATTGCTTGAAATTTGCAAAAGTTTTATAAGAATATAGAGTATATAGTATACCACGGAAATAAACGTATCAACATGTTTTTATAAAAAAAACATTGTAACTTCAAAGTAGCTCTTATTATTTCTATTAAATGTTAAGTGAAATAAAAGGAAACTAAAAGTAAGAGGTAATTTTTTTCTGTGTACCCAAACTAATTTGTCTGGCTTTTCTCTTATGGCTTAGGCCCAAAAGAAGTGACTGCTGGAGCCCACGCCCGGCCATTTGTTAATGCATATTCTATTCTGGTTTAGCGCCTCATCAAATTTCTAATTTATGAGCCGGAGCTTCTCAGGCGGCGTGTTCTGCGTTTGAGCAATTGAATGGCCCGGCGGCAATTTAGCAATTATAAAATGATTAATTTTTGTGCATTTTCTCAACACCTTCCACTTAGCAGCCGCTAACCAAACCTGAACCCAGAGGCAGGTTAACTCCCGGCCCGAAATGAGTCGAGTTGCGAGCCGCGATCTGCGGGCAGAAAGCAGAAAGCCGGGCGTTAAAGCCCAACTACTGTCGATTAAAGTGCCGCTGCCCCGTTGCCGTGTAGGGTATCATTAGGCCAGACAAAACAATTTAAAATAACTACAGCAACTAGCATAATAATGTTAAGAAGCAGCAGCACCCAGCGAGGCCATAGACAATTTTCATAATGGACAGAAATAAATCTGCAAAGCAGAAGCTCAGCCGAAGAAGCTAAAACTGAATACGGAGCAGCAGCTGCAGCGCTCCTTTCCCTGGGAAACCGATCGCCGAGCACAACTTAATTAATAAACTAATGAGCAGTTTGCTGCCGAGTCGCCCTCGCATCCCCTTTCTCCCTGCGGCCAGTCCATCTGCGAGATTATCTACATAAAGTAGTCCCGCCAGCAGACGTGCATCGTGCTGGAATACGGCTAAAGCCCAGCCTATTTGCTAAGAGATCGGCCAGAAATTAAAATAAATGTGCAGCGTGCAAAAATGCGAGGGACCCCAACCGAAAGTAAAACTGGAACGTGTTCAGCGCCAAAATACGACGAAACGAAACAAAAAGTATAACTCGCAAAAAAAAAAATGATTTATGCATATTTAAACGCAACGGACTGTACAAGGAAATTCCAATGAGATGATGAGTCTTCCTATTAGGATTAGTATTTAAAAAGGTCAAGCAACCAAAGCTGATTTTTATAATAGAATAGATTTTTATTACAGATTAACTTAGAGAAAGGGGTTCTTGCATTTGTTAAGCAACCATCAAGAACTAACTTTTTCATTTCAATAATCGTTTTAGCAGTGAAGCACTTACATTTTATTCGCAATCACAGACAGCACTGTATCGGGCTTAAAAATGATTTAGCGTTTTGAATTCTCTTCCGACTTGCCATAAACTCTCCTCTAAGAGGCTTTTCACACTTCTTCGGCCAGGTCGTTAAACGAAGTCCCCCCAATACCATTTATGAAAAGGGGGAGCTATAAAAATGAGTGATCTTCGGATGGGTTAAGCGAAAGCCTCTCGCTTGGGGGATTGTCGCTTTGTTGGCGAAATTTATGCTAACCAATAAACTTGGCCTAATGAAGTGGGATGTTTTCGGGACCGTCCCCGCAACTAAACAGCATTAACAGCCGCAATTACAGGGTCATTATTTAGGATTCATCACCGGCTAAGTCCGGCAAGTTAGCGACTGAGACAAATGAGATTAGACCTGGCCAGAGCCAAAACTAAAAGTGAGCTCTGACACGACCGGCAGTGCAAGTTGCGCTGCAGGTTCTGGCCGTAAATCATTTTGTTTTCACTCTGGCCGCTGCCGCAGTTTAATTATCACGAGCCGAGATTTCGTCTGTCCTGCAGCTCGTAAATTGTGGCCAGAACAAGACGCTTCTGACGGCCGAGACTGCGGCGGCAACATATTTCTGCGGCCCCGTGCAAATTGAAAAAGAGTTGAAAAACTATTCAAATCAATGAAAACTGATAGCCCCAGGGCCGTGGCGGCCAAGTCATGATTAACATGGGCTTAGGCCGTGTTGGGTTGGCCCTGTGCTAAGTACTACTGAGGTACTTGCCACTGCACTGGTAAAAATTTAAGCTTTACAATTTGAAACCAGAAAGAACTTACATTCGATTCAATTAAATAACTATTAATTTATATCTAAAAAGATCAAATAGTGTAATATTTAAATACATGTTATACTTATTTACGTTTTAAAATCATTTATAATGTAATATATATATAATATATACAAGAACAAGAACAATCCTCTGCTTTTTCTCGCTATGGGATGCCCCAAAGATGGCACCATGTACCATTTAAGCGACATGCCAACACTTGACCAGGCCCAAAGCAAGTCGGGCTTGCAGCCCGGCGAAATGTATCATTAACAAGTCACGACAAATTCGCTGGCCGGCCAGCTCGGAGCGGACGTTTGAAAAGCTACGAGCAGAGCCAAATTTGGCTGGTCGGTGGGACCAACCGACATCGGTTGGGCATTAGATAAACCGCGATCCCAGCCCCGATCCCCGCGAGAGGATGCAGCATCAAGTGGCAGGAACGCGGACAGGTTGGCCATTTCCTCGGTGCCGATCGCCGGCGGCGGCTGCTTTGAACGGGGACCCACCGCCACGTTCAGGTGTGAAGAAATCTAAAATGCAAACACCAGCCAAGCGAACTGCAAACTGCAAGCTGCGAACTGCGAAAGCCCTCTGCGACTTCTTCTATCCGCAGTCCATTTGTAGTTGCTCCCCTGGGCGCTGCCAAAAAGCAACTGAAAGCCGCAGATTGAAACGGAAAGCGATACGAGGGGAGTGTGCGTCCATGTCCAGCTAACCAATCCTTATCCCTATCCCACTCCCAATCCCAATACCAATACCAATACCTGTACCCATCCCCCATACCCATTCCATTCGCATGAATTATTTATTTCGATTGTCTGCACGCTGCATTATTTTTAGAGTGGCCATAAAGCCGGCCGATTTATGATCGGCGGTCAGGAGCCGTTCAAATTATCGCAGGGCATGCAAAATTTATTAACAAACACAAAAATTGCCCGAGAATTTATTTCATCTTAATTCAATTTAACAACTTAAACAGCCATAAAGTGTTCACATAGTAAATCAATGGGCACTCTATGCAGATGCGCTGCCCCGTCCTGTCCACATGCATCATCATCATAATCATAATCAAGGTGCTGGCTAGGGACTCCATGCTCCGGACTCCCAGCACCTCCTTGCTCCTCCCTGCTCCTTTTTCCGAGTTCTCTAGGCCCCCGCTCGCTGAATTTATGAGCTGCGCATGAAAATGAGTCAAAACAAATTATGCCGCTCGCAGGTTTTTAGCCAACTCGTTGCCTGATTGACAGCAACTGCAGTTCGACTGGTCCTGTTGTTGGTTTTTTTTTTCTGTTTTTGTTTTGTTTTTATTTTAGCCGCGACTGCGAAGCGATTATGATGTGAACGCTGCCAAAAAGATTTCCATCAGCGGCAACAATTTCGAGGCATTAATCATGGCCGTCAAGTACGAGGGTGGGTCCAATGGGGTTCTACCCGAAACTGCCACAAGGTAGAGCACCGACCAAGTCGCAGGAATGCTCCATGTTCGATTGCGATCTCCGCCGGATGCGACAAGCATTTAAATCGCACGCAGAAAGGATTATGAAGAGGTTATTATGAGCGGGCAAACATTTTGAGTTTGACATTCCGACATAAATCAAGTGCTTTCAAGCCAGAAAAATATTTAAGAAATTAAAAAATACTTTTTAACTCAATTAAGTAGGATAAGTTAGTATGTTCAGTGGCTGTTGACTTGCATAATTGCCTAGGAACAAAATAAATCAGATAAAAATGCCAAAGAAAAAACAGTCATTCAAAGCATATGATGGATTTATTCGACGATGAGAAATTCTTTTCAATAATTTAGAATAATTTAGGAATGAGGCAAGCAAGTGAGTTATTTTCCCAGCGGAATGACCTAGCTTTGGCAATAGCAGCCGTCGGCGGTGTTCTTCTGGATCCAGTCGAGGAACTTGCTGACCCTGGCGTAGACACCCGGGGCGTTCTTTTGGGCACAGCCGAAGCCGAAGGACACCACGCCGGCGAGCTTGTAGCGACCCTCGTTGACGATCAGCGGACCGCCACTGTCGCCCTGGCAGGCGTCCTTGCCACCCTGCTGCACCAATCCGGCGCAGAGCATCACCTCGGCGATCTTGTCCTTGTAGCGCGTCTGGCGACACTGGGCGTTGGTGATGATGGGCACGCTCACCTCCTGCAGGTAGTTGGAGGTGACTCCGCCCTCCTTGATCAGACCCCAGCCAGCGACCACAGCCTGGAAAGAGAATTGAGAATTTAGTTGAATAAAATGAAAAGTTATTAAAAAAATAAATGAAATCATCTTAGTAAATGGAGTTCAGGAATATCTTTGGAATTTTAGAAAGAGAATTAAAAATTGATTTGAATACAATGAAAAGTTATACAAAAACAAAATAAAAACATTATAGTAAATGGAGTTCAGGAACTCCTTTGGAATTAAAAAAATTTAAGTATTCCATAAAACTGAATAGTTTCAATATAAACCGATTGCTGTTATATGTATATCTCTGGTTACTTGCAGTTCAAATACTTTTATGGACAGTACTATACATCTTTAAGTGTAGATTGACTTGGCTAATTGCTTTTAAATACAAATATTCCTTACAAAGTCATAAAATGTTTATGAACCTTCTCTTTAAACCTCTAATTGACTTTCATATTTGAATTAAATCCAATTGGTACTCACGGTCTTGCCATCAAAGTTGTGGTTGGCCTCGGGCAGGCAAACGGGACGCATGTTTCCAGTGAGAGGAACTGGGGACTCCAGCTTCAGCAGGGCCACATCGTTGACAATGCGGTTGGGATCGTAGTTGGGATGGACAGTGCTCTGCACCACCTTGCGCACGATGCCAGGATCCCGCGAGGATCTGTCGATCTGGAGCAGGCGAATGGTGATCTGGTCCCGGTTTCCGTGGATACAGTGGGCAGCGGTCAGCACATAGCGATCGTTGATCAGGGAGCCGCCGCAGAAGAGGCGGGGATAGTGCTTACCCTTCACCAGCTGAGCGGTCCACGGGTATTTGTTGGAGCGTACCTGCTGGCCACCCACAATTCGGTTGACGTTCGGAGTGCCGCAGACTGAAAACAAATATTTGAAATGGAAATATTAAAATATAAACTTTGGTAAGCAAATAAATGTAGAATCTTTAACTTAATTTTTTTTTAGAAAACCGATTTAAATCGTAACTATCTGTATAATGATTTCCGTTTAGTTTGTAGTTTACTCACAGCAGTTCTGCTTGGTGGTGCACGTATTGCGATTCTTCACCGGCCGCCGCGAGGCTTTGAGGGACTGCTCCTCGACGGGATCGACGACATCCACCACGTCGGCGAACTGCTGGGCGAGGGTTTGGTGGGGGGCCTGGTACTGGTACTGGGCCAACGTGAGGCTGATGCCCAGCAGCAGGAGCACCGGGGCCAGGTAACTGCGCATCTTGTCCGTTGTTTACTTCTGAGGAAAGTGACAGAGTGGTTTGCCAAACGCCGGCTACTTATAGGGCCCACCACCGATCGGATCGAGTCGCGGATGGAGATCTGGATCGCCTTTTTAATAAAACTAAAAATATGAATGTTTTATTGCTTGTGTAAGCCGCGTGCGCATCTTTCTCTCCCCTGCTTTTCTTTCTTTCTCCGCTTTCTTTGTTTGGCGGCAGTGCCTTATTTGCATAACACTTTATAGCGCCGCACACACACGCACACACACACTCACCTTGCGGTTCTCAAGTGGGGAGCTTTGTATTTTTGGCCCGAACAAATCGTCATTTCCATCCAGAACAACCGCTGACAGGGCAAATAAACTTTTTAATATCGTTTATTACGCACTTACAGGAGTTTTTTAATGATCAATCCGAAAAGTGGGTTATTCTGAATGGTCAAAAGGCGAGGGGAAATATTTGCGGTAAGGCCAAAACACACAACTAGCTAAATCATCCAATGACTTGTTTTTTTGTACCGAACTTAGAGCAATAATCAATTTAAATTCTTTATCTTCATCATCTTCATTAGATAGGTATATAAAAACCCAATTTGTTCAATAAAATTATTTATTTTATTATATGAATGTATTAAAAAGTCTTGATTTAATTATTATAGTTTTTAGTTAGTCCCACATAATAACTCCCAAAAGAGTATTTAAAATTCGCCGAACTTCAGCTGAATTTTCCTTGAAAACTTTGCATATTCATGAAAGTGGAGCAAACTCAAGCGAGTTCGCCACTTTGCAGCCCGCCTCCCGTCGCGATTTTTAATGGACTTTTAATGCGCATCTGTAGGGGCTTAGGCATCGTCATCGACAGCGCCTCTGACCCCAAAGATCTGGCCAAAATAAAGCCGGGCGCTGAGTTGGCGGATTCTGGCCGGCCCACTCGAGAGTCGAAGGCGGAGTGTCTCTTTCTCCGCGCCACTCGATCGCATTGCTTTCGTATCTGGCCGACATTGCAGCATAAATATCCTTTAAGTGCCGGTTATCCGGTATCATCATTAACCGGAGGCAAACGCCCGCTTTCACGCTGCCGCAGCCGGGAATAATTTATAAGGCTTTGCGATGCGATGGGGGTTTGCTTTTCGGCATAATTTACAAAACGCAACCTGAGCCAGGGACAAGTTATTCCTCCGGCTCCTCGATCATATTTCTTTTGGCTGGAATGTCGTCGGCGTCGCCCTCTTCTGTATTCAGTATTCCCGAACTCGGATTGGCTTCGAAATTGATTCGCCTGGGGCTCAATGTCGTCCATCCAAACGCCCAAAAAATATAAATTATTAAAGGCAGCGCGTTGAAAATTGCGTGCAGCTTCAAATTATGTAACATGTAGCACTTACGAGTATCTTCTGCGCATTGGAAAAATAATTTATTTAAGAACAAAAATTTCCAAGATTTCATTTAGGTTTAAATTTAGGGATCGAGCTGACCTACAATCACAACAATAAATCTGCCAAAAACCCATTAGGAGTGATAGATTTAGGAAATGTTCCAAATGTATCTAAAATATAGCAAATTATTCACATGCCAATCGCCAAATGCTAATGGCTTAATATTCACATTAGCCGTTTTATTTATTATGGTTTGTTTTGCTTGGCTTCCCCACATAAATAACTTTTACTCTTACGCAAACCGTAAGCTCATGCAAATGTAGGCAGCTTTAGAAATTTGTTTCATTTCGCAGTATTTGCATAATTTATAAAAGCTGATCTTGTAGTGCCACCAACTTGGACCAGACTCATTAGTTAAAGGCACAACTTAATCATAGAAGGCATCAGAGATATGCAAATAAGGCTGGAGTCTAATTGTTGCAATTGTAATAGCCCGAAAAGGAATAATAAGAAGATCGCAGGCAAAGACAAACGGATTTCAACATGGTCATTATGCTTTCAGCAGGCTAAATTCCAGAATCTCCCTCCCCACTTTTCCCGGTGGGCGTGGCTGAGTGACAAACACGCAGCAGGAATCGCATATAGATGCAGATCATTGAACCAGACTGGCTCAAAAGGAATCCAAGAGAGCGAGGATGCCAAACTGTAACCCAAGTTAGAAAGGTTGAATGGCATGCCATTCACTTGCTTTTCGCCCGGTGGCAGTTTGCCCGTCAGAGTCACTCAGTCAGTCACTCATAAATTTGCATAAGAACTGAATTGCATTGCATTATCTAAGCGGCAGTTGCAGTTGCAACTTGCAACTAACAGTTTGCAGCTTGCAGTGCTCGCCGCACTTATCTTGGCGGTGGAAACAATCACGGCAAAGGCAAAGGCAAAGATTTTAATTATTGTGTGTGACGGCGACGAAGACTCCAGCTGGGAAGAAGTCGGAGAAAGATGTCGAGTGAGGACAAGGGAGAGCCCAGAATTGCTTCTGCATTGGAAAAAAATCTCTTAAATACTTAAAAATAAATTGAATACTAATACCTATACTCTTTATTAATTGTAAAACCATAACATTTTCTTAAAACAAAAGAAGAGTACAAAATCCTAAATCCCTGTCTAAAACAAATGAATAAATAGTACAAGTTTTTTAAGTAATATAATAATACATCTCTTGAACCAAAAAGCCTTGTTCTCAGTGCAGTCTGGTAGACATCTGGCTTTGGATTCTCAGACAGACTCGGAGTCTGCTCTGTGACTTCGCCTGATGAGCTGAGCTGCATTTGATAACTGCCAGCAATGAAGTCTTAGACCCTTAGATAATGAAAAGGAAGCTGGTCTCGAGTCTGGTGCACTGTAATTCAAATTAGTACGAGGCTGGTACGAAAAAAAAACAGAGGAGAGACGAGATGAGCAGTGTGGAAGACTCGTCTTCGGCTACCGGAGAATCGGCCCCTGCAGTGCCAACTGGCAACATCTTCTTCCTCAATGACATTAATTCATTTCGTATGCAAAGCAATCAGTGAACTCCTCTCCTCGAGAACCCGCTCGTCGACTTGGCAATTAGAAAAAGAGTTGGAAAATTGTATGCGGCTCCAGCTCGGACTGTGCAGTCTGGCTGGGCTCCGACTTTTCCGGCTGGCACTGGCACTGCGCACTGATTTGCATTGCACGATTCTCAACTTAATTTAACATAAGGTAAACAAGCGCAGTTAACAAGCCAAATACAACCCATGAGCGTGCGGGTGCTGGCCAGCTTGGCTCTCGGCCCAGTATCTGAATCCGAACCAGAGCCAGAGCCAGAACCAGACTGAGCCACAGTTCTAAGCTCCTTCTCCGTCTGCATCTGCTGTTCCCCATCCCTCAGCCTGCCAAGGGCTCCTCTGCTTTTAGAACTGCTGTCGTGTGACGTGTTGTGAAAATTCTAAAATATTTCGCCCCTGCCGGCCCAGCTTTCTCACAAGTCAACGCCAGAAACCGCACTGTGGTCTTACAGTTTATAAAAATTAAGTGAAACAGCTTTAAGAATATGTTACAGTAAAGCAATCTCTCTTCTTAAGTTCGAAAATAAAATGTATTAACTCGTTGAAGTCAACTATTTTTCCTATTTTTTTTTATTATGTTTTTTATTGCTGTATAGTTATTTGCTTTTAATTTTGATTGGACATGTTAACTATTTGGTTTTATTTCTATTTTATTAACATTAGTATTTTCTGACCCACCCGAAAGTCCACCTCCAGCTCCGACTGTACCCGGTTTAATTTTACCAGGTTTTCGGGTAGACTGATTTCCACTAGATGGTGTTATATTTCCTGGGTTTGGTGTACCCTTAGAAAAACGGGAACCTGGAGGTTCTGTTATTTCTTGGCTGGGTGTTGTCTGCGATCCCGGATCAGGACCTTCAGGTTCTTGAGGAGGATGCTCTTCAACAAAAGGTGGCACAAATGCCGGGTTAGATATAATTTTAGGGAGAAGCAGTTGTTGACTTGGTCGTTCCCTAGTTCCTTGGTTGGGTGTAGTCGGCGGACCCGGATCAGGACCTTCAGGTTCTTGGGGAGGATGCACCCCACCCGAAGGTGACACATAAGCTGGGTTTGGTATAACTTCAGGCAGAACCGGATGTTGACCTGGTCGTTCCCTAGATCCTTGGTTGGGTGGAACCAGAGATCCAGGAGGATTTCCACCAGGTGGTTGGGGAGAATGACCACCAGATGGTGGTACAAAATCTGGGTTTGGTATAACCACAGGACGAAGTCCATCTGGAGGTTTCGTCACTGTTTTGTCGGCTGGAGTATGTGATCCCGGATCAGGTACCCCAGGTGCTTTGGAAGGTGGCACATAGTGTATGTTTGGTATAACTTTAGGCATTCCTTTGTAAAGTGGAGGCTGCGATCCCGGATCAGGACCAGGTGGAACCAGAGATCCAGCAGGATTTCCACCAGGTGGTTGGGGAGGATGACCACCAGATGGTGGTACAAAATCTGGGTTTGGTATAACCACGGGACGGAGTCCATCTGGAGGTTTCGTCACTGTTTTGTCGGCTGGAGTATGTGATCCCGGATCAGGACCAGGTGGAACCAGAGATCCAGCAGGATTTCCACCAGGTGGTTGGGGAGGATGACCACCAGATGGTGGTACAAAATCTGGGTTTGGTATAACCACGGGACGGAGTCCATCTGGAGGTTTCGTCACTGTTTTGTCGGCTGGAGTATGTGATCCCGGATCAGGTACTCCAGTTGCTTTGGAAGGTGGCACATAGTGTATGTTTGGTATAACTTTAGGCATTCCTTTGTAAAGTGGAGTCTGCGACCCCGGATCAGGACCTTCAGGTTCTGGAGGAGGATGCCCCCCAGCAGAAGGTGGTACATGTGAAGGGTTTGGTATAATTTTGGGGAGACGCGGATGTTGACCTGGCCGTTCCGTAAGTCCATTGTTGGGTGGAGTCAGAGGATTATGTCCACATGGAACTGCCGTCAATCCTTGTCCGGGTGTAGTCTGTGATCCACAAGGTGGTTGGGGAGGATGCCCACTAGATGGTGGTACATGTTCTGGGTTTGGAAAAATTATAGTTATAGACAATCCTGGGTCGGGTGAAGTCTGTGATCCCGGAAGATTTCCACCAGGTGGTTGGGGAGGATGCCCACCAGATGGTGGTTCAAATTCTGGGTTTGGTATAACAACAGGACGATTTCCACGTGGAGGTTTCGTGAATCTTTGGCCGGGTGGAGTCACTGTTGTTGGAGGGGGAATTGGCCATCCTTCCGGCTGAGAGTTTTCCCAAGGAAAGTTCGGTGGCTGCAAAGGTCCTGGTGGTGAAATGAGTCCTGGAGCAACAGGGAATCCTGGAGGGAGGTTTAAGCCTGGTTATTCTGGATTTGGTTTAATATTAGGACGATACCTGGAGGATTTGTCCATCTTTGGTTGGGTAGAGTCTGTGATCCCGGAGGATATGCATCAGGTGGTTGGGGAAATCCTGGGTAAGGTGGAATCTGTGATCCACCAGGAAGGCCAGGGGAGTCTCCCATCCTCCTGGCTGCAGATTTTCCCAAGGCTTCAAGGGTTGTCCTGGAGGTGAGACCAGTCCTGGAGCGCCGGGGTATCCAGGAGGGGGAGATTAGGCCTGGAAGATGACTACCAGGTGTTGTGGGGGAAGATCCAGGTGGTTGGGGAAATCCTGGGTAAGCTGGAATCTGTGATCCACCAGGAAGTCCAGGGGGAATCTGCGATCCTCCTGGCTGCGAATTTTCCCAAGGATTCAAGGGTTGGCCTGGAGGTGAGACCAGTCCTGGAGCGCCGGGGTATCCAGGAGGGGGAGATTAAGCCTGGAAGATGTCTACCAGGTGCTGTGGGAGATGATCCATCAGATGGTGTCACATAGCCTGGCTTTGGTACAATCTTAGGATGATGTCCACCTGGAACTACCGCTACTCCTTGGTCGGGTGGAGTCTGTGATCCCGGAGGATATCCACCAGGTGGTTGGGGAAATCCTGGGAAAGGTGGAATCTGTGATCCACCAGGAAGTTCACCAAATGATCCAGGGTATCCAGGAGGGGAGATTAAGCCTGGAAGATGTTTACCAGGTGTTGTGGGGGAAGATCCAGGTGGTTGGGGAAATCCTGGGTAAGGTGGAATCTCTGATCCACCAGGAAGTCCAGGGGGAATCTGCGATCCTCCTGGCTGCGAATTTTCCCAAGGATTCAAGGGTTGGCCTGGAGGTGAGACCAGTCCTGGAGCTCCGGGGTATCCAGGAGGGGGAGATTAAGCCTGGAAGATGTCTACCAGGTGCTGTGGGGGAAGATCCATCAGATGGTGTCACATAGCCTGGCTTTGGTATAATCTGAGGATTATGTCCACCTGGAACAACCGCCGATCCTTGGTCGGGTGGAAATTGTGATCCCGGAGGATATCCACCAGGTGGTTGAGGAAATCCTGGGTAAGGTGGAATCTGTGATCCGGGAAACAATGAGGCAGGTGAGAGTAGTCCTGGAGCGGCGGGGTATCCTGGAGGGGGGCTTAAGCCTGGTTGGGCCGGTGGAATGGAAACGTTTTTAGATGGATTCCATTCATTCGTCTGTTCAATCGGTGGATCGCATGGATACAACAGGTCTTTAGAATTTTGTTGCGGATGCATACAAAGTTGTGGATAGGGGAGTTTTTGAATTCGCGATTCATGTATATAGCCCTTTAGCGATGAAAGTGGACTTCTAATTGTTAAATTATATTTCCCATAACTTTCCTGAGAAATCAGATGATTTAGACTTGAGCAAGCTTATTCATATAATCTTAAATATGTTACTTTCTCTTACCCAGCCAAAGACCTTTGTACATTGCCGTCCTGGCAAAAGGAAAAAAATAACCATAACAATTAAGTTCGACCTGAACATTTCGTGCAGTTTCTTTAAATTCATATAACTAAATGAACCTTTAAATTCAAAACTAATTGCATTTTACGTTAGTTAACTTTCTTTAATTGGTACTGAAGCGAATTAGTCAGTCCGTTTTTAAGAGCGGAACAATTTGCATTTCACAACTTAATCTGCAATATTTACATTTGTTACTATATGGCCTTTTCTATTTTTCCAATTGAATTTATATTAATGTTTCCCACCGTGGTGTCAAACAAATTGATTGAAACAAATTGACTTTAAGGACGTTAATATGCTATTAAGGTCAGAAAAAGTCGTTGCTTATGTTAAGGTTATATTTGATTTAAAAAGGTCATATAATTTAATGAAAAAACTATTTTTGTTACTAAAACGGGTGCAGTTTATTACTGTTTAATTGTTGTTTAAAGTTTAAATATGAAATTCTAATTTTCTTTTTTTGGAATATCCGATGGCTTTGGTAACTCTCCGGAATTAATACTTGATTTAGATAACACCTTCTCTCTAGTTGATCTAACAAATCCACCAAGTTGTCCGGAATATCCTGGGATATTTCCCCAAGGAGACCCTGGTGCGGCGGGCCATCCTGGTGATGCTGGTGGGTATATCGGATTTGCAGGTTGGGGCCCATAACCCTGGTACGGATTCTCTGCAACCGGTATATTGCATGGAAACATCAGGTGTTTGGAAAGAGCTTGCGGATCCCTACAAAGTTGTGGAAAATTTGGTTTTTCCACGGTTCCCTCACGTCGGTTCTTTTTCAAGTAGCTGCTTGGCAATGGAATAATGATGTTTGTTTGATTAGCAATCGTGCAATTTAGTAGTATATTCTCTCTTTGAATTGAATACCCATTACGCAAGGTACTGCAAGTTGGCGAGATAGTCGTAAGGTCTAAAATCCGATCTAAGAGTGGATGTTTACTAGCTTCACCGTATTGGTTGGTACCTTTGTCAAGAACCTTTAAGGGAATTATTCTGTTTTCGCTGTTAGGAAAATTACAGTAAGCCAATATAGTCTCTACGTTTCCAAATTCTGTCAAAAAGAATTGTCGGAATGATGAGCAGGGTGTGTTTGTGCCAACATATTTAAAGCTTCTAGCAGTGGAATTTCCGGAAGGCAGCTTAAAAAATAATACAAATTAACATGGGCTATATAAACTAAGGCCGATCTTACCAAGGAAGTTTTATTTTCCAGTGCCTGCCAGCGTGGCACAAAACAAATTAGTATGAAAATATAATACAACATTTAATGTGCACTTATCAATTTCGAAAACTAAAATGATCCGAAAGAATCCATTTTATTTGGATCTGGGCAAATGTACATTTAACCGTTCTAAGAGGAGAACGAATGGATTGCCGGCAATTATGGTTCTTACCTAACGACTGTGCAAGGCGACGTGTTCATCTGGGGCACTGTGAAGAGTTTATTAAAAGCCACGACAACAGCCGTCCCTACACAAAATCCTTTGTAAGGTAATTGCTCATTTGAGTTATACTCGCAAACACGCACACAGTCCCTCGGAGGCTGCCTTCAAGATCCCCAATCCCCGATCCCCCATCACAGAGATCCCAATCGAGGCTGCCCAGAAAGGGCTGTGCCGTGGATTGTGGCCAACGCAGACGTCCTCGCTTTGCATGTCTAACAATTGTTCTTCTAATTGCCTTTATGGCCAGGCGAGAGAACTGGCCACGGCCCCCGGTGCCTTGTAAACGCAATCGGACAAGATAATCTCGGCATCGCAGCGTGCGCAATGATTTGCCGGTGCCCCGAAAAGGGCTTACCCCATGGTCCATCCTCCTCCTCCTCCTGCTCCTCCAGAGCTGCAGTCCTCTAGCTTCCTCCAAACAAACACCCACCGAACTTCTATGCGGCATGGCATGCGGCATGCATCATGCATTTGGGTGCAACAAATTGCCGCAACGCATCTCCTGAATTGAGTTGAGTCCCTCAAATTGGTGCTTGCATTGGGGGAGAAATGCGTTACATATCCCATTTATGGGCTGCCTATTAAGTGGTGCAACAAATTGACAGCTCCGAAGAGCCTCCAGAGCAGTTTCGCCATCAATTACCGCCATCGATTCGCAGAAGAAACCCAAATGGCGTTGGCTGGCCAGCACTTCATTAAAAGTAAATAAGGTGTCCATCACATATTGAGATAAATCGCCAAACGAGGGTGTTATTCTCCAAAGTTGAACAAAGTTCATTGGGAGGAGGAATATACCCTTGAGCTGTGATCTTTAGTTGGATATTTTACATACTGACGTACTTAATTACTGGAAACATATCTGCATTCATGAAGCTGGTTTGTAAATTGCAATACACATTTATTTATATGAATCAAAATTTTAAACGCTACAATGTTTTAAGTTTATGCACACTTACCATATTTTTCTAAAAGGAGCTAAGAATTAGAATTTCTTTTCATCCTCTATAATAGTTCACCTTAATTTCAAATGCCCCGATGTGCAGAGGTAGTGCAAAATAATCTCGGACTCACCTATGAGGGCCCTTGACAGTTCCCCAAGCTGCAGGCAAAAGCAGCAAATAGTTCGTGCAATTGCCAGTTATGGCCGAGAGTGGAAAAAAAGGCGCGCGTCAAATGCAGCATTGGAAAAAGACTGGGCGAATAGCCTCCAGATGTGGACCGCAGGTTACAATAACAATCTGGCAGCGGGCAGGGCTGTGTCTGTGGAAAATTGAAGCCCAGCTCACTCTCTAATGATAACTGCTGGAACTTTAAAGGCGCGAGATTGCGGAAATTTCGCGACTGCCAGCGGATGGCTCTGCGGCTCTGTGGCTCTGTGGAAAGTCTGTGGAACTTCTGCAACGACAACGACAGCGACAACAACGACGACAAGTGTCAAGTGAAGCTTAGATAAATTTCAAAAAGGGCAACAACATGGGCTGGTCCGTGAGGAGGAAGCAGGCGACGATTGCCTGCCAGCTGGCCAAGCACAGGTACACGCTAAAAAATTTTATACGACAGCTTAAGATTGTATAACCACAAAGCCTTGAATGATTTAAAATATTAGTTTTTCTTAGTGAAAAGTTTTTATTGGTGAGTACAGAGTAATTTAATGTAGAAAGGCAAACAGGAAATAATCTAATCTAAAACTAATGTTTATAAAAAGCTAGAACTAGGAAATTTGGTATGGATTTCAGTGCTGGCTGGAAGTGCCTTGGAATGAAATGAAATGGCCGGAGACGAAGGCCAGGCCTCACCTTGCCATGCCGCACAAGTAGCCAGCAGGCAGGCAGAACTCGGCCTCCTCGGGGTCTCATCCTCATCGTGAACCCCAATCCCAATCCCGATCCCCATCCCCATCCTCATCCTCGTACTCACCCTCATCCTCATCCTCCTTCAAATCGACTGAGTGGCATGCCATGACAGCCTCCGCTTCCTGCTTGTTCTGCTCGTATTTGAACTTCCAGACACGCTTTTGGCCCTTAACATTTTTGACCGTCATTTTGCCGATATAAATTCTTCAGCATCAGCATCTCTTCTGAGATGTTTCTTCTGCTCAGTTCCTTTTTGCTTTCTTGCCTTTTTTGTTGTGGAGAGGGAAACCGCTTCGGGTTGCACTTTCTTCGTCGTGCCAGCAAAAGTGTAGATCAGCGCGAAATCTAATTTATGCAATGTACAAGAACATACAACATGTTGCACGATGATGAAAATGCGGCAGCCAGCCAGCAATATTTTTTAATAAAAAAAAAAGAAAAAACGAAAGAAAAAACAAAGAAGCAAGAGCAGCGGCAAGACAATCGAGCAACGACAACAACGACGCATGTTTTATGACTCTCATTGTCATTTATGCAAATTAGGAAACGGCAATGGCTCAGAAGGAACTGCTGCTGCTGTTGCTGCTGCCTATACTGCTGCTGCAGTTGCTGTTGCTGAAGGAGCAACAAAGGCCGAGAAGCCACAAAAGCCGATCCACGGCGACTCTTCTAAGCGGCGGCGCGAATTTCCCACCAAACCCGGCCGATTGCCTCGTGGCCTGAACTTTTTGTGTCATGGCCTAGGAGGCCATTCTTGAAGGAGAGGGATCCCCGAACCCCTGCGCTGCACTGCGATGATTATGAGCAACATGTTTTATGATATCTGGCGGTGATTTATTATCATTTGATTTAAAAAGCAGTGGACAGGACACACATCAATACATGTGCCTGCCTGGTCATAGTCTCCTTCGCGGAGACACGGCGTTATTTATAGCTTTGACCAGCCGGGTTGGCCAATGGACACCGCCGGGCTGGAGTTCCTGCTCCTAGGCTCTCCGGGCTCTGGCCAACCGCATTTCATGCTTATTATAGAAATGTGCGCTTTTATGAGCGCGCCCAGCATGTTAAAGGTGGAGAGAGCCTTTTGGCGTTTTTAATTAGCCAACCAGCTGGCTGGTCGATCTCATTGCCCCCTAAGAACCGCTGGGCAGCTAATTGGTTTCACGCTGCGATCGCATTTGGAACAGTTACAGTTGGGTAGTGGGTTCGTCTAATTAGAATCAAAGTCTAGACCGAAAGCCATTGTACTTGGCCTGCAGCTGCTTTTCGAAATGGTTGGCGAATGGGCTAGAAAGTTTGTTACTTGTTATTTGCAAAACAAGATTAGTAATGATTTTTGAAAGAAGCATTATAGGTTTGAAAAGTTCGAATTCTTAGCTCTTATGTTACTTGCATATATTATTCAGATATTTAGTAGCTTCAGAAATGCTCTGCATACTTTCAGGATTAAGGGGAATAAAGAGATAATAATATTAACTGAGAAAAGACTAAAATATATTTCTTAGTTAGTATGTTCTACCCGTTAAAGATTTTTTACGAGCTTTTTAATACAAATGTATCTACCTTTAATAGACCTTAACGAAGGAACCCCGGACTCTTTTACGATCTCCATTAGTTACCTTTAGGGTATGTTTGCTAAAACTGCGAATCGTGTAGAAGAGACTGTTAAAATGAGGATTTTCAGATCGATGAAACAACTAAATCAGCTGCGATCCTCAAGCTGCTTTTCCATTTTATGCCCTTCGTGATGGCCATATGCCAATTTTACGATCTGTTCGGAGCTGGTCGCCCCTTTAGTTTTCGTTTTAATGGCCCTAACATAAAAGCTAATGCCAGGCGGACTTGGACTCATTAAGGCATTGATTAGTAAGGATCTAACCAACAGGCTGGCCAAGGGGTCCATTACGAAGCAGCTGGAAGCTTGTCCAATTAGCCGGGTTTTATGGTCCAAGATCTGAAATAGATTCTGTTCAAATTAGTGCTGATTTCTAAAGGAAAATCTTCGGGAACTACAGTTCCGTTTGCATAATTAACCGCTAGCCAATTACGAGTATTTCACAATCGGCGACGTCATCGATGGCATCGCCTACGTGCCGGGTTATCTATCATCATCCCACTCCAAACTCGATGTGCTCATCTTCGTGGCGCTGATACACGCCACTAAAAATAGATTCCCTTGATGCGGTGTTTGCTTAATTTGCTTTAATAATTTATTACCTACCTTCGCATACAATCTTTAACGATGCACTTGCCACAAGTGGCCGGGGTGAGGAGCATCAAGACTGATATGCCAATCTATTACATACTGCGAGAAAAACCAATCAAGTATTAAAGAAAAGAATTATTAAGTGTTTTATAAATCCAATTGATCAATTACTATGTTAATATGCAATAGTCATTCTAGCATTCCTTTGCGTAGTAATCAATAATTTTAATCAATAATAATTGGAAACATAATTTTTCAATTAAAAGTATATGCGATAGCAAAATTGAATAATATTTTCTGAGTTATGATTGAAGTTCATAACTCGTATATTTATTTGTACATATTGTTCATATATTTATTTGTACATTCTAGTGTCTATTTGGGGTACTTATAATTTGTATATTAGTCTTTCTCTCCGTGAGATTTTCTCAGCGCAACATTGAACCGCTGGCTTACAACTTATTAAACCGAAGTGTTTTCTATTCTTCCCGCGATTCCGACCATTTGCATTTACATGCAATTAAATGTCCATTCACGTGCCAGCCGGCAACAAAAGCAACATCAATTGCTGGCTGGCTATGACACCACCAGTAAATCTTCCTCCCGGCGACTTTTGCATCATCGATGTTGTGGGCTCAGACCTTCCCAGATGGGAACTTATTGCCGTTGTCCATCGTCCGTTGTCCGTTAGCCACCAAATCGGCTTAACTGCCGCCTACTCCCAGGTCCGGAATTGGCCACGTTGCCTCCGGCGGGTCTCTTTTCAATTGCAAATTTAATTCAATCATTGACTATAATTTGG